AAAGAGACAGGGTCTCACTCTGTCACCCAGGCTGGAGTGAGCAGTGATGCAATCATAGCTCATTGCAGACGCAAACTCCTGAGCTCAATCTTCCCACTTCAGCCTCCAGAGTAGCTTGGACTACAGGTATGTGCCACCATGCCCTGCTAATATTTTTATTTTTTGTAGAGACAGGGATCTCACTAGGTTGCCCAGGCTGGCCTCAAACTCCTGGGATCAAGTGATCCTCCCACCTCAGCCTCCCAAAGTGCTGGGACTACAGGTCTGAGTCAGCCTGCCTGGCCTATTTTTTTTTTTTTATTTATTCAACAGATATTCATGGCATATCTGCAAGATTCCACGCCCACAGTTTTTGGCCAGGACTGAAAGTGCTTTTAGCCCCAAACTGCAAGTCTTTGAAAAGGCAATCTTTTGCCACTTAGTTTAGCTGCTCAAACCACATCAGCCAATGCCTGCATATGTCTGGTGCCAAGGTTTTTGTGCTCAATAACTTCTCTACCTCTTATGCACCCCCTCACTTGACACCCTCTACCTGTTCGAATCCAGAAGAAAATTCCATCCTCCAGGTGAGCAGGGGGTTGTCACCTCCCTTCTCATGGACACCATATTTCTGTTAATGCAGCCTACCTTTACCTCAGTGTTTTCAGCCATGCTGCAGGTATCAGTGTTGCTAATCTCCATCTGACCCTGCCTTGTCTACAGAACTGGTAATAACTGATTCTTGTTTTTATAATAGACATCATTCCCATTCTCATTTCATTTCTCTCACCTGAAATATGTCTCCGTGGCTCAGAATGAACCCTAAATTTAGTTGGCCAGTTCTTATGGACTGAATTGTGCCCACCCAAATTCACATGTTGAAGCCCTAACCCTTTGTGTCTACACTTGGCCTTAATTATTTAGATGAATTAAAAGCAATTAAGGCTGGCTGGACGTGGTGGCACATGCCTGTAATCCCAGCACTTTGGGAAGCAGATGCAGGCGAATCAATTGAGCTCAGGAGTTCGAGACCAGCCTGGCCAACAACCCCATCTCTACTAAAAATACAAATTAGCCAGGGGTGGTGGTGTGTGCCTGTAATCACAGCTACTTGGGAGGCCGAGGAAGGAGAATTGCTTGAACCGGGAGGTAGAGGCTGCAGTGATCCAAGATAGCGCCACTGCACTCCAGCCTGGTGACAGAGCAAGACTCCGTCTCAAAAAGAAAAAAGAGCCGGGCGCGGTGGCTCACGCCTGTAATCCCAGCACTTTGGGAGGCCGAGGCGGGTGGATCAC